TTTATATATGAAAAATAAAATAAATGGGGAAAAGTCCAGAACACCCAAAGGCCAACGAAACAGGCCGAAAACCATTTTACCAATGAAAACATTGAAGCCATTAGAAAATCTCTGTTTCTCTTTCAGATTCAACCAAAGTAAGTATCAATTTTTCGTTCTCTTTAAGAACAAAAACCCAACTCTCTAACAAAACTCTATCAAAATACACTATTTTTTATATTTATTTATTTTTTGTTCTACTTTCAGATCTTTTATTTGACTTCCCAAGCTTTCTTCTTGGGGCCTTTCAAATTTCCCTGTTTTACTCATCTCCAAGATCTTTTTGTTCATTCTGTTTTTGATTTCTTGCTGAATCTTGAACTCCCCAAATCTAGCGGTGGAAAGGGTAGGGTTTTATGATTCTTTTGCACAGTGAATTCTTAGCTTATTTTAGAGTTTAGATTATTAGTTTACTTGGGTTTTTTTTAATGATTTCAAATAATAGTCAACTTTTATTATTATTATTATTATTATTATTATTATTATAATTTTCTTTTTTGGGGTGCAGATTTGTCAGCTGGATCACACTTCCTGAAGCTGCTTGATTCGTGGGTAGTTAATAGCTTTTTGATTTGTTGTTAATTTTGAGCAAGACCCAGATTTTAATATGTTGGGAAATGAGGCATAGATTTAAGAGATGGGGTGTGTTTTTGGAAGAGATGTATCTTCTGGGATTGTTTCAGAGTCTAGAGCCAGTAGAAATGGTACCTCTGAATCCAATAGGAAAATAGTACAAGTCGCGGTTTCAAAGACTGATGACGGTGTTGTAGGGGTCGAAAATGATGGTGCCCCAAAGGAGGAAAAATCTGATGGGGAAAGGAAACAAAAGGGGGAAAGAAGAAGGTCGAAGGCAAACCCTAGGTTGAGTAACCTACCCAAGCATTCGAGAGGAGAGCAGGTGGCAGCTGGATGGCCTTCGTGGCTGTCGGATGCCTGCGGGGAGGCGCTTAATGGATGGATTCCACGGAAGGCCGACACCTTCGAGAAGATCGATAAGGTGGCCAGTCTTTGTTTTCGTTCGATATTTGCGTTATTTATCCTTATTTTGTGATGATGTTGAAAAATGTAGTTTGCTTTGAAATGATAGTGAATATAACTTGTAGTTCTGTTCTTTGTTTATTAATGTATGGCATATTGATGAATGGTTTTGTGTTTAAGTGGAAGCCGTTGCCTTTTGTTACATCATCTTGAATGCAGTTTAATTATAGTTCCTTTTCTTCATTTGTCGATGCTTTTAAAGTTGGTATTTTGGATTCAGATACTTACCCGCTCCTTACTGATTGTAGATTGGCTCAGGAACATACAGCAACGTGTACAAAGCTAAAGATATGGTAACAGGTAAAATTGTTGCACTAAAGAAGGTTCGTTTTGATAATCTTGAACCCGAGAGTGTGAAATTCATGGCTCGAGAGATTCTCATATTGCGGAGGTTGGATCATCCCAATGTTGTAAAATTAGAAGGTTTAGTTACTTCAAGGATGTCTTGTAGTTTGTATTTGGTATTTCCGTACATGGAGCATGATTTGGCTGGGCTTGCGGCAAGCCCAATAGTAAAGTTCTCAGAGCCGCAGGTTAGCTTCAACTTGGCTTTTGATTTAAATTACTGTAAAATCCTTGGTTTACATGTATGGTTAGGTAGTGACTAGTGACACTAGAAGTATGGTTAAAATGTATGTTATAGGTTAAATGCTACATGAATCAACTACTCTCTGGCCTTGAGCACTGTCACAACCGCGGAGTGCTTCACCGAGATATTAAGGGGTCGAATCTTCTTATTGATGATGGAGGAGTTCTTATGATCGCTGATTTTGGGTTGGCTACGTTCTTTGACCCAAACCGCAAGCATCCAATGACTAGTCGGGTGGTAACACTGTGGTATCGAGCCCCTGAGCTTCTTCTTGGTGCTACAGATTATAGTGTTGGCGTGGACCTTTGGAGTGCAGGATGTATTTTAGCTGAGCTCTTGGCTGGGAAGCCCATTATGCCTGGTCGAACAGAGGTAGATTTTGCTCTGTATGTTCAGTTTATCATGTTTTGCATTATTTCCCATACGGCTCTGCAAGAATATAGGGGGATATTTTTGCATCGTTACTTGTTGATTGAAGTTAATTTTTTTAAAAAAATCGCCACTCTGTTGCAACCAAGAAATTGCAGTATCAAATCTTGAAAATTTATGGTTCACCGCATGTTGAACATGATTAGGCAATTCTATGCAGTTGTTCCGGCACATGTAATTACTAACTTTGTGTATCGTTTTATGATTGAGTAGGTAGAGCAACTACATAAAATATACAAGTTATGTGGTTCACCATCAGATGAATACTGGAAAAAATCAAAGTTGCCAAATGCAACCTTATTTAAGCCTCGAGAGCCATATAAAAGATTCATAAAAGAGACATTTAAAGATTTTCCAGCATCATCGCTGCCCCTCATTGACACTCTACTTGCAATTGATCCAGCGGAACGTTCGACTGCCACTGCTGCATTGAGAAGTGAAGTGAGTTGTTTGATTTCAGTGAACACTCTGGTTCTACCTTCGCTTGGCATCTTTTGACTTTTTTAAATCTAAGGATTCCCTTTCTAGAAGTGTCTTTTTTTACACCATTTTATCACTCTTATGCAGTTCTTTACGACAGAGCCTTTTGCTTGTGAACCTTCGAGCCTCCCAAAATATCCACCGTGCAAAGAGATGGATGCAAAACGACGAGATGATGAAGCTCGGAGGTCAGTACTTTTGCTTTTCCGCTATGTAGACTTTAATCATTGGATTTTGATGACCGAAGGAGGTGGTATATCCACTTCTATGCATATGCATAAGAGCAATATCCACCCTTAAGCATATGCTTTGTCCGGAGCTCCTTTCCCATCTACTTGTTTGTAGTTTCCAGAGGTAGAAAGACTCGAATAAACTAACTGATGTGGTTTGCATGCGCAGATACTTGTATTCAGATTTTTCTGGATCTTATTTTACATTCTGGAATGTGTTAAATGATTGTTCCCGAGGAACTTTGAATTTTTCTAGAAAGGTCGATACTCTTGTGTTGTCAACCTTGTACAATATAATATTTGAATTGTTCAATGTCAGCTACTGCGAATCTGTGATGGCTTCAAAGTTTAGTCTTTCACCCGTGTTCGTTATTGGTTCCATTTGAGTTGACTGCACTCTAAATTTGCATTTGAAAGCATTGTCTTGTAACTATCTATAGTATATATCTACTATGATTTTCTATGAACCCTTTATGTTTCTGGTATAATTGTGCAGACTCAGAGCAGCTAGTAAAGCACAGGGTGATGGCGCTAGAAAGACTCGGACACGTGATCGTGCAAGGGCCGTTCCTGCTCCAGAAGCCAATGCTGAGATTCAGTCTAATCTTGATGTATGTGATAATTCAGTTTGTCAACAACTGTTTTGTAGGCTTAGCTTTGAGTGGCATCAGACACCTGTTTTTAGTTCTGATATTTCAACTAATGTTTTTCCTCTTGTGAAGCAGAGAAGACGCTTAATAAACCATGCGAATGCAAAGAGCAAAAGCGAAAAGTTCCCCCCACCGCACCAGGATGGCACTCTCGGCTTTCCTTTAGGAGCATCACAGCACGTTGATCCATCGTTTGTTCCTCCCGATGTCCCCTTCAGCTCCACATCTTTCGCTTATTCGAAAGAGCCGATCCAAACTTGGTCCGGTCCATTGGTAGACTCTGCCAGCATGGGTGCTCCGAGGCAAAAGAAGCATGGTGCAGGCGATTCACACGGACCATCTAAGCCTCCTACGGGATCCCAAAAGGACAAAAGTGGCGACTCCCTTGTTAAGGGGAAGAAAAGCATACTTTAAACTCGCACCGCATACATAAAGAAAGGGATTTATGAGAGCAGAGGAATGCATTTTGCTGACATTGTTTTCATGGAGTCTTAACTGCTGCTTAATGCAAGTATATTTAATAGATTGTTGTTTGTTTTTTGTCATAGAAGCATGTATTGTTTTGTTTAAAAAGTGTATTCAAGGGTTGAAATCAGTTTTTCCTTTACTTTTTCATTCTTTTTACCCCCCAAGAATCTCTAATTTGTTGAAACCTTGAGTACAAGTTACCACTGCTGTGTATATTTTTTCCCCTTAACCCGTTGTTCTTTAGCTGGTATTTATACTCTTTTGCCTTTTATTGTTGCCAAAATCTTCCATGTATTGCAGTACATGTTTGTTTTATCCCATAAAGCATGTTCTCCACGGGTGATTGTTGGCTTGTTCATTCAAATCGGTGAACTATACTGTTACAAACAGTGAACTGATCCTATCATCTAGTCGCCTTTTGGTGTTCACTGTACTCAGCGAGTGGAAGAATACCTGTTGGCGTTCGCTGTACTGGGCGAGTGAAAGCCGTTTGGACATCGCTGGGGCACTTGACAGAAGACTGCCGGATGCTTCGAATGATGATTATGATTGTTTCTTTGATCCAGTAATCGCGAGGTAATGTGATGGTATTTTCGATAATTACTCCTCCGCTTCAGCTCTCAGTGACCGCTGCGACCACAAGCTATTCATTCGAGGTGACCGGTAAATAGTTTCACCTTGCACAAGATTGAAGCAGTAGTTTTGGATCAAAGTTAGCTACTTGTTACTCCTTTCCTCTGTTAAATCATTGTAGGTTTGATTTAACTATAAAAATGGACAAAATTATACAGCTGTTGGATCGATGGTATTAATTATATGTAACCTATTTACTCCATGGTCACCTAAAATTGTGGCAAAACAGGTCAAAGTAGAAGGAAAGTCGATTGCCCTCAAAGAAGCAGCAGCTTTTGAGAATGGTAGGTTTAAGAAGAATAGTAGTTGGAGAATTAAGGTCCAAATATGGCACATATCATGCGCGCTGGTAGATGGATCCTTCTTTGTTAAGGTAACTTCCTATTATAAAATCCCTAGTTGCCATCAACATTTTGCATGTTACCCTTTATCTGTTATACAAGTTTGAAGCTTTCTTGTTTTTGGTTCCCTCCATTGTTCACAAGCTGAGAAAATGGGACCAGGTGGACCCGGAGGGCCACCGGGATGGGGCGGCCCTCCTCCCCCCGGACCGGGATTTTTCGGCGGTTTTTGTGACATCATTGGTGCTCGGTAAGTTTAGTCAGGAATTAGTACTCGAACTCAGATTGAAAATTTTTAATGTTGTCGTTTAACTGGCATCTTTTTGCAGTGTGAATTTTCTGTGCTGCTGCTGGTTGCTTCGGGACTGTTTTGGAGGTCCGATGGGTCCGCCAGCGCCACCTGGACCACCTGGATTTGGACCTCCTCCACCATGATTACATGCTTTCTACCTCCATTGTATCCAAAATTGTTAATGATCTTTCAATCTTGTTATCTTCCAAAAATCATATTCTTTCATATCCATACTCATGGTGGTCCTTGTAACTTTCAAACTCCCATATGAATATTCTTGACTTGATGCTTTTACATGTAAGCATCGTTCAAATAAACACACCCAATGTTTTCAAGTTTTAAGTGATGATATGATATATATAAAAAATAAAGGAATAGAAAATGGATGTATGATTTTATGTCATGAGGTAATTTTTAAAAAGTTATATTAAAAAATTTTAAAATTAAAAATTAAAAAAAATTAGATAGTACAGAATTAAATCATCAATAAAAATATAAAAAAAATACTTGAACTATATAAGATTTTGAAATATTTAGGAGGTAAGATTGTCTTCCGATATTCAGTCTATCTATATGTAAAAAGAACCGAAAGAGGTAAAGATTAGAACGATAAAACCGAGAAAAAGCCGAAGATGCAGTCAGACCACGAACCCTAATGTTAAACACGATATAGTTTTACAACTTGGGTTGGCACAACAAATGAAAATGGCTTGGGGGAATATGGGCAACCTTGAAAACTTTGAGAGAAGTCGATGGATGGTGTTTGGGAAGGGAGAAGATTAGACCACTTTGTCCTACGTTTTCAATCTGCAAAATAAGTTATCACTATCATATGCCATGACCTAACTTTGGAATCTTCAAGTTAATTTTACTTATTTTACATTCGAGCATTTGATTCAGTGATGGACATATATTTTACTATTTATGTATTTAAATTTAAACTCGAAATGTAATTTATTTGATCTATATAATCACTTCAAAAATATAACATTTATCTATCTTATTTAGACCTTAAACTCAAACTCTAAATTAAGTCTAATATCGTATTTTAAAGCTTATAATGAACTAAAACATTAAAATGAGTATTTATTCAGTAATAGGTATATATAACCACTTTTAAAATATGACATTACTAATATGAGTTGGTTCCAATGATAAACAGTTTGATATTGCTTAGTAAGATCGTGCATATAATATTTCAATCTTGCAAATCTTTAGATTTAATTTACAACTTGGCTCCATTTTTTTCTAGAAACCAAAGGTTATTTATCGAAATTTATAGCCTAATTTAGACGTCTCATTAAAAACTTCCCTAAACCTAGACGGAGGAAAAGAGAACAACATAACAAGGCTAGAAAATAGCGGACGCCATCCCCAATACAGAGACCACCGTAATTCAAAATCATTCCTGAGAATAATCCTACAAGCATATAAAATTATAAAGATTTAGTCCCACCAAGCTTTAAACAACATAGTTCGAAACAAGCCTTGTTTTGCAAGATGGTCCGCTAACTCATTCCTTTCTCGTGGAACGTACACAAACTTCACCTGGGACATCTGTCTTGATAATCTATCAATCTTGTCAAATAGAACTCATCATTGTCAATGCCTCAATTATAGATTTCCAATCCAATTCAACACTACTTGTGAATCTGTTTCACGATTTCTCCCCGAATTCTTACGATCTCCCAGAGTTTCCTTAATAACCTTCAAGCATACATCTCTAGAGAACCAAGCGTTGGTAATCTTGAGGGGTCTTGGCCCCCAGTCCACCACCTCTCTCGCCAAAAGGAACGAAATATGGCCAGAAGCATTTCGGGGTAAGCCATGGAGCGTTAAATCCCCAATCACTTAAAACCAATTCTCCTCCAGCAAGAATATATCCAACTTACTGCGACTGTTTCCTGGACCGATCCAAGTGAATCTTCTCCCTATCAGTAGAGCCTCGACCATGTTACAGATTTCAATGACATTATTACATTCATCGATTCCTATTTAATTGCTTCATCTGCCTCACATTTCCTCTTTGAATTTGATCGTATTGAAGTCGCCACCTACGAACCAAGGATGCTTCCAGCTAATCCCCAAAGTGTAACACCCCAAAACTCGAGTCAGTAGTTGGGTTAACTTGAAACCCATTTTTAGAGCTCAAAGGACCAATTAAAATAAATTGGACTAAGTTTAGAGGAAATTGAGCTTGAGTTGAGCCCAAAAGAATTATGAAGGGCGTTGGGTATTTTGTGAAATGAAAAGTATAGGGACTTAAGGTACAAATCTCCCATTTTGTTTGAATCTAAAACTTCTCCCTATTTTATGTAGGTTACGTGAACCACTCCCCAAATATCCTACCAATATTTTATATATGTTATGTGAATTACTCCCCAAATATCCTACCAAACCTCATTCTTCTTTCTTCCATCATTTTCTCTTCCTCTTCCCTTCCAAAATCAAGATTTCCAAGTATTTCAAATCTAGTTTAGTTAATCCAAGATAAGATTTTTAATCCCCATCCTTCTAGCTTCAATTTAAGATCCACATTTCAAGTTTTAGACTTGGGTTTCAAAGAGGGGGTTTTAGAGAGGGTTGTGAGAATCTATGTATTCTAATTCGTTTTGGGTGGATTTGAATTATAGAGAATGTATTTAAATTGTTTAGTGAAAGAGATAGGAGAAAGTTCCAAAGCTAAGGGAAAGATAATGCACCTATTGAGTGAGTTGGAGGCTTTGCCATTAGCTAAGGAAATTCAAGGTAACCACATTGACAACTCTTTCATACTTTTAAGTGGGTCATCAAAAGTGTATCATAGCATGAAAGTTAAGATTAAAGTTTGATAAGCATGATTATGGTAGAATCTATGTTCTATGTTATTAGTATGTTTAGAGCCTTATTTGTGATCCTTCTTGATTACATAAAACACTAAGAATATTTGGGGAACCTCAAGGTAGTAATGTGAGTGAGTTTAAATGCCCAAATTGGGCATTTTCGGGTAAAGGTATCAATACTAGAGGGATCAGTACCGATATTGTTCTTGTTCGGACATAAAATTCTAAGGTCTATGAGGGTAGTATCGATACCCCTTGAAGAAATATCGATACTGAGGGTTCAGTATCGAGACCGAGGTACTTGGTATCAAGACCCATATTACAAAATGTCATTTTGGTATCGACACTGTAGGGAGTATCGATACCCAAGGTCCAAGTATTGATACTCCCATATGAGTATCGATATTTCCCTTTTTTATTCAATAGAGTTTTGTGATAGGGTATCGATACCTCGAGTAGGTTATCGATACTTAAGAGGGGGGATCGATATTGTAAGGCCAATATCGATACCAAATGCATGTTTAGGGCTTTAAACAAGAGAAATTGTGGAGGTAAGTGAGGTTACCCAAAAAGCTCTAATTACTCTCAAATAAGACCACAAGTGGAAATGATAATAATGTTTAATTATACATAGAAACAAGATAAATCAGGGTGACATAAAATTAGCCTTGTTTGATACTCGTGAAACGAATCAGACACCCAAGTTCCTTTAGTAATATTAAGGGTGTCGATGTATATATTCAGTCTGGATATCTTTAGGTAGTGCTCAAGGCACTTTAAAATGACTAGCCAGGGCGCAAGTCCGACACTCGCAAGGGGTCGACTAGTCGAGGGTGTTTTATCCGATGCAGAGATTATGGGCCTCATTCTCAGGTGAGCTTCAATATAAAGAAAACCCTCAACGACATCATGATGTCTACCATAGAGTAGAGAGTGAGTATACGAGTACACTTACTATATTATTTTATCAGTTGGCTTGAACATGTTAATGAACCCCTTTTAGTATGTTTTAGTTATTAGCAGAGCATTTTTGACATGCAGTGATCCATACCAGATTCAGTGTAACACCCCAATTTATGAGTTAAAATCTTATGATATTTGTATAAGAAGTCTAATTAAAATTCTGGTTATCAAGGATTTTTTAAAAGATTGAGGACTTTAAGTGTAATTGTGTCCTTCGTTGGTTTTAGTTAATTATAACATTCACATGGTTTGTTCAGACTTTAGTTGATGTGAATTTTTTTATATGTATATATGATGTATAATTTCAACTCCCCAAATAATAAATCATATCTTATGGTACCATAGTGGCCTAGTGGGTCCTGTAAATTAAATTTATTTTGTCTGCAATCTTCTTTGTTATCTCTTAAAATACTAGTACCAATCATTTATATTACAGAGCATTCATAATCAACCAAAGCCAACCCTACTTTAAGATATGAATTCCTAATCGTTTTTCTTTCTCTTGCTTTCTTGGGATCGATCCTATGTTTGTTTCATAGGTTGGTGGTGAAGTAGATGAAACTTCGAGCAAGATTAAGTGAACAAGGCATCAAAGGACCGCCTCTGACTATGCTTTTTGGAAACATAAGAGAGATTAAAAAAGCACAATCCGCCGTTGTTAGGGATCCTAGCCGTCGTCCACTCACAACTATGTCGCGCTTCTCTTTCTTTTCCTCCAGAAATAGAGGAAACAGTACATGGAAGTATTATTGTTTGTGAATCAACCTGATGATGTGAAAGAGATTACAACATGCACGTCCTTAGCCTTGGGGAAGCCTTTCTATCAGCAAAAAGAATTTGGTACTTTGCTTGGTCAGGGAATTCTAACTTCTAATGGGAGAACGAACCAAAGGCTAGAGGAACGCTATGGCCTTCGGTTTGAACCATTGAAAGAATTCCATAGATACAACGTTCTTTGGACAGCCAATAACATCATGGGCTGTGCGTGCTAAGGAGGCAAAGAGGGAAGCCATCGCCGCTTATCAATTATGCGTGGTTTGGTCTCGTCGCTCGGAAACTCCACCGGCTTTCTCCTTCTCCTAGCTGGTTTAGTGCTTATCATTTAGCTATCTCAACCAAGGTTTGGGAGTTGGTAATGGAAAATAATAACAAATGAATGTAAATGGGTATAGCAAAGCACGTGGGTTGTGAGGAATTATTGATATCATGCAAAAAGGGGTAAATCACAAGGTATGCCATCCAAGTTTGGTGAGATATTTACCTTGTCTCTTAGTTTTCAAGTGATTATAGTTATGACATAATAGTTTTTACAATATCAATTTAGTCACTAATTTAAGTAATTAATTATTTTGATGGCAACATTAGTTTTTAATTTTACCAATTGAGTCCTCAAATTATTATTTAGATTCTAATTAGTTATTTTTATGGCGAGAGAAATTATTTGGATACGAGTTAGTAATTTTGATGGCCTGGATCGTGAGGAAAATATTGGAAGTTGAATTAAAGATCGAGGGCGTTCAAATGGAATTTATATGGTCGATTAATATGGC